GCAGCCTTCCGCCAGTGAAAAAGAGCTCAGGTGGGCTACACGTATCCCCCTGGGCCCGATTTTAGGCGGCAACGGCCTCCTGCAGCCCTCTGCCAGTGAAAACAGCTCGGATGGGCCACATGTATCCCCCTGGATCCCGTTTTTGGCTGTGACAGCCTCCTGTAGCCCTCCACTAGTGAAAAGAGCTCAGGTGGGCCACACCTATCCCCCTGGATCCCGTTTTAGGCCATGATGGCCTCCTGCACCCCTCTGACGGCCTCCTGCAGCCCTCTGCCAGTGAAAACAGAGCTGTTTTCACTGGTAGAGGGCTTCAGGAGGCCATCACGGCCAAGAATGGGCCCTGGGAGGGCTGCATCAGCCCTCCGAAGCTCAGTTTTTGCTGGCAGAGGTACTGGGGCCAGACCTTTGCGGTTTCCAGAGTGGCCCCATGGGCCAGATCTAAACACCCCGTCTTTTGAGTTTGATACCCCTGGCATAGGACCAGGGGTGTGATTCTCCCGGTTTGGACCGCTTTAGAAAAATGCCTAGTTCCGATCATCAGCTGGCTCCAAACAAGTTTGCTCCAACGAGCACGTGGGCCCACCCACCCACCCCTGCTTTTTCCTGTGCTTTATTTCATCTTTTTAAAGAACACGGCTGATTCATGCAGCAGAGCTGTTTGCCACGTCTCAGCTCTTTTATTCACAGCGTTCACTGCAGTTGAAGGTAAGTATGAGAGCGGAAAATGGGCTTTTTAGGAGCGCGCGTTTGGTGCACACGTGCGTGAAGGATCACCGAACCAGTTGTTACACCAGTTGAATCACACCACCGCACGGGACCTCCAAATAAAAGAACCCACCCCCTACCCAATTATATAGCTTAGCGTGACCTCTGGTTCTGAACATTATGTTGTGAGTGCCCAGCTAAATGTGGTTTATTCAACAGACCAAGGCTCAAAACAAATCACAGCTTAGGCCAATATGGGTCCAACCCTTGCAACAGCTTCCAGATTTCTTCTCATCTCCCTGGGGGTGTCAAGATTAGGCTTGGGGGTGTTCACAAATGTACTCTGGGACGATGATGTACGGTATCCAAGTCACTGCTAAGGAAGAACAGCAGAAGCCTCATTGGCTCATTCTGTACATTGCGTTTATTAGTAGTTCCCTTCCATAAAACTGAACAAATAACAGATTGTGATCAAGACGATAAAAGTTGAACGATGCAAAAGAATTCCCAACCATTGTATTACTTACATCTCTGAGGACTTTCACACGAGAATCAACACTGCAGTATTTTCGGTGACATGGCACAAATGTATTTCCTTGTTTTTTACATTTATTATTCTTTGTCAATATACTTAAAACCCTGAGTCTGTTCCCTCTTGCCCCACCCAACTCAACTCAACTATCTGCATCTACCAATATACAAGAGCCAACTGATACGATGTTGTGTTCCATAACAAAAGTCAGATGGGCAGCCATGTTGGAATTTCTAAACTGTAAACAAGGGTCCGGGAAGCACAAACCAACGTGGCCCCAGACAGGCAAAATTCAAGGTTTGCTGATATTCTGCCCTCCCCACCCCCCCTTTGGTGGGACCATCGCTTTCATTATGTTACGGCTCAGAGAAGATTCCGGAAGGTTTTCTTCCGTTAAAATTGTCAGGGTTGGTGATCTTTCCTCAGGTTTGCTGCCGAAACACGCAGCACGATTTCTTAATACTGGCTTCCGTATCGATTGGTCCACTTTTGAGATCATGTCGCCACCACTTCCGGAGCATTCAAAGATGGAATGGGGTTCTCTGCTTGGAGTTCTAGGGGACTGCCACATATGTCAGGCTCCGACGCGAGGCATTGGGGTGATTCTGGAGTGGCGAGGAATTCTTTGTCCAGCACTTGCACGGTGAGCTCTGCCAGCCCAGAGTGAGACTTCTCGTGCCTCGTGAGGCTATCTTTGAATACGAAGCTTTTCTCGCAGTGCGAGCAGTGGAACATCTTCTCTTTTTGGTGAGTGAACCAGTGTCTTTTCAAGCTGGCGGATTGTGTGAAATGCTTCCCGCATTCAGTGCAGGTGTAACGCTTCTCCTTGAGGTGGATCCGTTTGTGTTTCTGCAGCAGCTTCAATTTGGGAAATTTTTTCCCGCACTGGAGACAAGGGTAGGTGCTTCCACATTTACTAGGTAGATTTTGAAGCAGGAAGTCCGGTTCTTTTTCCTCACAAGCCTTCGGGGGTTCTTGGAGGGCTGAATTCCATGGGAAATTCTCTTCGCAGTGGCTGGATTTATCTAGTTTTTCTCCTGCGTGGATACTCTGATGCTTTATAAGAGACGACACGGAGTTGAAGGTTTCTCCACACTCCGCGCAGGGGTGATTTTCCGCTTTGACCGCGTCCTCTTTGGGCAGGAAAGAGGCTGCTGGCTTCTGTTTATGGGTCTTCTCCTGGTGGGCTTTAAGAGCCGAATCCCATCTAAAACTCTCTCCGCAATCGGGGCACTGACAGGGCCTCTCCTGCGAATGGGTGCGCTGATGTCTTAAGAGGCGGGATGGCCAATTGAAGTTTTTCCCACACTCGGTGCAGGGATACGATTTCCCCGGGGTGTCTGGTCTTGTTTGGAAAAAAAGCCCGAGTTTCTCTCTCTCGTGGATCTTTCTATGTCGCAGAAGAGCTGAAAACCCCGCAAAGCTCTTTTCGCACTTGGAGCATTTGAAAGCTTTCCCTTCAGCAGGGACCTGCTGGGGTTTGGAATTGCCTTGCCCCTGAGATACGGGTTGCAAAGCGGGGACCGGTTCCTTTTCCTCGCTCTTATGAAAATCCTTACGATGCACCGATAACGAGGACTGCCAGAAGAAACTTTTCCCACAAGTGGTGCACTTATGCTTCCTCTCCCCGGTGTGAGTGCTCTGATGGCTTGAGAGATGGGAAGGTATCCTGAATTCTTTCCCGCACTCCAAACACCCGTACGGTTTTTTCTGCCTGTCCGACTGTCTTGGGAGGAGATGAGCCGCCTTCGTGTCTGCGTGGACCTTCTTTTGGTGCAGGCTAAACGAGGAAGCCCACCTGAAGCTCTCGCCGCATTTTGCACATTTGTACGGTTTCTCTCCGGTGTGGATGCGTCGATGCCGACTCAAGAGATACGAATAGACAAAGCGTTTCCCGCAATCGGAACAGACATAGGATTTCTCTCCCAGAGTGGCTTTTGGGGGCAAAGGGCCTCCTGCTTTCCTGGTCTCATGGATCTTTCGGTGTCTCAGAAGAGAGCGAGCACACATAAAACTCTTCTCACAACTGGTGCACGGGTATGTTTTTTCTCTGGTGTGAGTGCGCTGGTGGTTTATTAGACTCGAGGAACGGTCGAATCTTTTACCGCACTCGAAACATTTGTAGGATCTCCCTTGCCCCAGGGGTAATTTTTGGAGGAGGGGGACCAATCGCTTCCCTCTGTGGACCTTCTTCCGATGCAGATTGAGAGACGAAGGCCACATGAAGGACTCCCCACATTCCGTACATCTGTGGGGCTTCTCACCAGTGTGGACTCGCCAATGTCGCATGAGGTCCGAGTGTTGTCTGAACGACTTCCCGCACTCCAAACACTGATTAGGTTTCTCCTGTGAAACGGACACCATTGGCACCAGAGGACTTGGCTTCTGCTTCTTATGGACCTTCAGGTGTCTTACGAAAGCTCCCTGCCACATGAAACTCTCCTCGCATTTCGGGCACTTGTAAGGTTTCTCGCCCGTATGGACCCGTTGGTGCCTTTTTAGGTGGGACAGCCGATCAAAAAACTTCCCGCACTCCGAACAGGTTTTGTCTTTTGTCTCAAGTGCCATTTGTGAAGAGCTTTTTAGTTTTACTGTCTGGTGGAGTTTTTTATGATTTTCCAAGGATTTGAGCTCCGGGAAACTCTTCTCACATTCAGGGCATTTATAGTGTTTCTTTCCAATGAGGGAAGGCTGAAATTTCATGAGATGGGACCCTTGCTTGAAGCTTTTCTTTTGATACAAAAGTGGGATAGATTTGTTCCTCAAATGGATCTTTTTATGCCTGTGATATGATGAAACCCAAATGAAGCTTTTCTCGCACTCAGGACACTTGTAAGTTTTCTGTACAGCAAGGGGCTCTGGATGTTTCTTCTGCTCCAGAGTTTGTTTTTTTCCAGATGTCTCTCCACTCCCTGTCCTGCCATTGGGATTCTGCTCCTGGTGAATTTTTTTATGGACATTTAGGTCCAGTGCACTGTCAAACTGTTTCCCACATTCGCCGCAAATGTTCTGTGTGATTTGGTCTGAGGAAGGAAGAGGCAAACTCTCACCTGGCTGGGTTTGAGAGACACGAGGATAACCTCGATCGGTATTGTGGGTTCTTTGATGTCTTTTCAGGGCTGTCTTATCGTAGAAACTTTTGTCGCACTGGAAACATCTGTATGCTTTTTCTCCCGTGTGGATCCTTTCGTGCCGGGTAAGGGCTGAGTTTCGTGAGAAGCTTTTCCCACACACCAAGCACTGTTTTCTTTTCTCCTTCTGCGTGTCTGAACAGAAGACAATGATTTCTGCTTTCATACCATCCTCGTCACTGATGACAAACGGAGTCCCCTCCATGCGGTAGACTCCCTGCTGTCCTCCAAGATTCTCTTCTGGATCACAAAAAGGTAGAGCAACGCTGTTCGCTCTCTCCGGAGGCACCCCGTGTTGCTCTGTTTGCTTCGTCCTTCCCTGCAGGTGATTTTCACTCTCGTGCAGCTTCCAAAGATCTGCAGAAACGACAAAACGCATCTCCAGTGAGAGAGTACTCAAGGCCCACGAGAATATGCTTAAACAGAACTAATGACATCCGACTGCGAAGAAACTACTTCCCGGATGTCCCAAAGCTGCTTTTTTAAAGAGGCAACTGGACTTTCTGGTTTTTCAGATCCATCCACTTCCTGGATGTTGTGCGCCTAGAATGATAAGACAGCCTTTACCAGTTGGTATCAAGAAAGGAAAAGGTGTCATCACTGAGTAACAGGCTTGGAAGGGATCTTGGAGGTCTTCTAGTCCAGGCCCCTGGTCAAGCAAGAAACCGTATACCATTTTAGACAAATGGTTGTCCAGTCTCTTCTTAAAAACCTCCAGTGTTAAAGAGAATTCACAACTTCTGGAGGCAAGTTGTTCCAACGATTAATGGTTCTCACCTGTCAGAAAATGTCCTCCTTAGTTCTAAGTTGCTTCTCCCCTTGATTAGTTTCCACCCTTGGCTTCTTGTCCTGCCCTCAGGTGCTTTGGAGAATAGCTTGACTCCCTTTTCTTTGTGGCAGCCCCTCAGATATTGGAAGACTGCTATCATGTCTCCCCTAGTCCTTCTTTTCATAAGACCAGACATACCCAGTTCCTGCAACCGTTCTTCATCTATTTTAGCCTCCAGTCCCCTAATCACCTTTGTTGCTCTTCTCCACACTCTCTCTTATGCTTTACCGCTCTTCTCTACGCTGTAGTTAGGTAGTTCTCACTTAATGACCAGTTACTCCAAACTTATAATGGGCCATCAGTTATGAAAAGTCTGGTTGGGGAATTCTGGGAGCTGAAGTCGACGTACCTTAAAGTGGCCGGGATCAAGAAACACCTGCTTTACGACAAGGAAGGAGGCCCAGGATGAGCACAAAAACATATCTTATTTTTTTACTTTGGAGCAGAAGGACAAAGGTGCATCTTAAAAGATGCCTTGGCTGGGAAATGCCGCCCCTGGAGTCTCACCGCCTGGATTGGACAGCCTGCCACAAAAGGCTTTCAATGAAAACAAACGCCTCAAATCTTACCGGCATCATCTTCTTCCACTTTCAGCTCCCTGGAAAACTGTAGTTTCTGCCCGGCGTCCGACGGCCCTCTCTCCAGGGGCTGCGTATTTTCAGGCCTAAGACCAAGCTCCTCTTCCCACTACAGGAATAACCAACCGGATGTGAGAGATCGCAAGAAAGAGCAGCGCTAATAGCAACGGCGCTTCAAAGACTCAATACGCCGCTTCACAGTGCTTTACAGCCCTCTCTAAGCAGCTAATAAGAGTCGGCTTATTGCCCTCGACAAATCTGGAGTCCTCATTTTATGGACCTCAGAAAGATGGAAGGCTGAGTCCACCTTGAGCTCTTGTAAGGATCGAACCTCCAGGCTGTGGGCAGAGTCAGCCTGAAATACTGCAGTTTAACCACTGGGCCACCAGGGGAGACAACTCTGGGGAGCATTTGCTTAATGACCTAATAGCGGGCAGGATTTTGGTGACTAAGCAAGGCATCACTAGCATGGCAAACGTCATGTGACCGTGCCGCTTAGTGATGCAGCTTTGTTAGTCCTGGTTATGGTTGATAGGCCAGGACTGTGCTGTCGTTAGGAGAGGACTCCATGCTTCTCCCTACCCTGCCCACTCGGCCGAGGCAGCTGCCAATTGCTGACGTGTGGGGACTTATGTACAGGAAATCCTCGACGTACGGCCGCAGTTGAGCCCAAAATTTGTGTCACTAAGCGTGACATTTGCTCAGTGGACTCTGCCCCATTTTACGACTTTTCTTCCCACAGCTGTTGAGCGAATCGCTGCAGTTGTTAAGTTAGTACAGGGCTCTTCAAACTTGACCGCTTTAAGCCTTGTGGACTTCAACTCCCAGAATTCCTCCTCCAGTCACGTTAGCTCAGTGATTCTGGGAGTTGAAGTCCACAAGGCTTAAACTTGCCAAGCGTCGGGCTCAGAGTTCGCTACGGAGCCCGTCAGCTCCGAACACACCTCACAGCAAGTCAGCTGGCAGTGGAGAATATCACCTTAGCTCTGCTGACCCCGGAACTGTATTGCTACTTGTGTGCTAGCTGATGGTGTTGAAGGTTGCTTTAGAATGACTCAGCAGAGCTGGGACCTACAGGATGGATTCTGAAGCAACTGCGGGCTGCAGGATGGATTCTGAAACAACTGCGGGCTGCAGGATGGATTCTGAAACAACTGCGGGCTGCAGGATGGATTCTGAA